TTCTGCTACTGTTCAGTGAGTATGTCTCTGAAGATGAATCCGCGACGGATATAGAAATTCCAGGCAAATAAACATAGTGTCCCAGCGATCGAGTTGTCTTCTACTTCTCAATTATCGATTTTTATACACTTTTAAACTAAGATGGTTCTGCAACGTTACTGGCCTAAAGAAGAGTTGCCGAAAACATGTTTGCCAAATTAAATACTTTTTTATTTTTTTGTTGATCTTCCACGCCTACACCTATTTCTGTGATATATCTTGAGAAAAGGACGTATTTTAGGAGATTAAAAGTTGAAAGATTAGCGTTTGGTGTCGATGTCTTTGTTGAAAGAACCTACCCATCTAAATGCTCGCAAGACCACAAGTATACTTAAAATAAAGCTTTTGAAAAAGACCACATTGCTATTAGTGTTGCTGTTACCGTTTTGGCAAAAATAATTTAAGTAGAGCACGTCATATACCCCTAGTCCCAGAAGTTTTTTCTACGGAAGCAGTGGTTATAGGGTTTTGGGAAATTTTTAGAAGTGTAAAGTGCAAAATGTAGTCGAATTTGTTTCCCGTGGCCGCTGGGAGCAAGTTGTTCTACATGTAAATTAGAGGTGAGCGCGGCACTTCGGGCCGCGGGCTATACTAATCAAACTCCAGAACGGTAAGTTTGACCTCAGGTAAGTTGAAATAGACGATCTCCTAACCACCATTTCCATTTTTTGGGGAACTTCAAGAAACCTGCATTTTGATAACCGGTTTTTTCCGCAATACAGATGCAAATCAACAACATTCCTAAATTCAATAAAATGAACATGCATATAGCCGTTAGTAAAGTATATTTCACTGCCTATCCTAAGTCGCTACCCATAAAACCCCTATAACCACCGTTTTCGTTGGACAAAATGCTGACAGTAGGGATCAATGAGGTGCGCTACATAAACTACTGTTGCCCGATCATAATACACATGGACGGATTGACGTCTTCCGCGAGGACAAACATCTCTCTCAAATATAACTATGATGCTTTTCAGGAGAACAAAAAACATTGCGTTAGCTTATACAAGTGCCTATGAAACGTGTATTGACTGCCTGGCAAAGACGATTGAGGGGTGGCAGGCGGTGACCCCTCCGTCTGCGTTGCATTCCTTTTTATTATTCTGTTTGAAGACATACGCAAATAGTGTGTCGACGACGACGCTTTATGAGTTACGGTCGATATTATGCTTTCCAAAGCCTGTACAAGCTTGTATGAAAATGACTACGAAGATCGGTTCTCCGCTCTTTCCCAGAAGACTCAGAGAGGCGATAATGTGAACCTGACTTGTCACCACAATGACCTGCTATGAAAAATTCAGAGTCAGCAACAAGTTAACGACGAAAGACTTCAAGAGGCTGGATTAAGTAGGTCAGTAGAGTCCACGCCTAATCACCGAGAAATATTTTACGACCGGAAAGTCCTCCAAAATAATGGTTTAGCAATTTTCACTTATATCCCGTCTTTAAGGTCAACACCAGTTCGTTCACATGAGTCTTCAAATGACACTCACATTAAAAATCCTCTTTTAATTTTCGACAGATTTGCTCGGAGATGAAAAAAGAGGCAAATCAGAGTACAGTGTAGTAGAATAAACCCCACCGACTGGCATGCAGCTTGTACCGAAACCACGATTTTTCTACTTAATGACGCCTCGACGGGACACTACTGGTAGTGTGTAATTCGAGAAAAATGTATGGGATAGCATCCTGTCTGTTGTGATAAAAAATGGTTTTTATGAAAGCTAGACTAGCGGCAGCTAAACCATACGGGGAGGAGTGTGCACAGCACAGGCGCTAACAGTAGAGAGTTAATTTGTACAGAAAACCGTCGAAACCGTGAAACACTCTTCTGAATATACCTTATCCTTGGGAGTCAACCTGGTCCAGGGTTTGTCAGTTCGTCGATCGTAGGCGTCAGCTTCGGTTACTTCGACGTAGTCGTTGAACCGGAGAATACGCCGAGATCGCAATTCAGCCACCGTAGGCCGAAAAGACAGCTAGAAAAGAGGAGGACGAAAAAAAGGCTAGTTGAGGAATCTTGACCAACAAATGGCCAAAAGGGTGCCTGGACACCGACGGCCAGGCGGGAGAAGACAAGGGGGGGGGAGAGAGAGGGTCAGGAATGTAAAAATAACATACATTGCGGGAGAGGACACGTTTCTTCTCCTCTTTTTCCTTTTTTCGAGTTTCTTCAGTGTCAGCTGAAAGACAGAAAAAGAGGAAGCTTTTACCAAAGCGCCACAAAAAACGCTTGTTGATTGTGACCACCTGTAGGGATCCCTAGAGGGATTCGCCACACGTGCAGATAAAGCCGCGACCGACTTGTTGCCCCTGTTTTCATGACTCCAGGTACTGTTATAGAGCTGCCAGAATAATAAACAAAGGGGGCAAATTTTCCAGGGAAATTCGCGTGACTTATACAACCATCCGTAGGGGAATCCACGCAGCATAAAAACGATGAAATATCCGACCACTGTCAAGGCAGTGAAAGACCACGTTTCAGATACCCCCCTCCCTCCACCGCCACGAACTTGCCGGTTTTTTTTTCTCTGTGCAGGATATTAATAGAATAGAACAACTGACTGTGGTCGAGATTTATTAGGCATAAAGTCCTTGCCACGCTGTGAATACCAACAAGGTGGACGATGAATCACTGAGAGAGAGAGTTATATGTGCGCACCGTCGGCCAAATGGAATGAATCATAAGAGGCCTTTTGGGGACGGGTGGCGTTTCCGCGGTATTTGAAGTACGAGGACAAGCAGTCATTTAAAGGACAACCCGAAACCAGGTATGAAAATAACAGTGCACTAAAAACCAGAAAGACCATTGATACACTTTTTTTCAGTACTTACAACCGCCACCAAAAGTTTCCCTTATAGGTACACGCGACGGAACCAAATTTTGGAAACAGAAAAAATGAAAACCCACAGAAAAATTGAATGCTGACGGAGGTTAAATTAGTTATGCCGTTTTGGATGCAAGCACCTAGCACATGCGAGTAGAGACTAGGGACTAGATTCTTTCCCACTGACGTCTGGTATTTGACAAGGACGCCCCCTTTCCCCAGTTCTTTTGAACTTCTTGATCAACGGGGCGATGCATCAATCAATTCCACCAGATAGTGGATGTGAAATGAGCCCTGAATTCAGAGTTCCCGACCTGGAGTATGCCGATGACATTGTCGTACCCCTCAGTCACTACAGCCAACGCTAGACCGAATCACCAGTTTCGCTACAACTGTTGGTCTGATGATTAATATACACAAGACGGAGTTCCTGACTACGCATCTTGGCACAGCAGAAGGACTGTTTATCAGTGCCCAACCCATCGAAGAAGTTAGCAACTTCCGCTGCTTGGGCTCTAATATACTAGTCAACGGACAGGCCAAAGAAGAAATCAGGAGCCGAATTGCACACGCTCGAAACGCGCTTAGGTTGCTAGCCAAACCACTCTGGTCTCGCTCAGACATAACCTTACGTACAAAGCTGTTAATATACAGAACATCCATCAGACCGGTGCGAAACATGGCCAGTGAGAAAGGCAGGCACTTTATCGCTCGAAGTCTTTGGCCGTTGATGTCTTCACGCCACTTAAGATTCTACTGGCAGGATCGAATTT